GCCTCCAAGTAAATCTGGTTGGAAGTTGTTCATAGTGATAGCTGATTTCTAGCAAACGATAGTTGTAAATAGTAACAATCGATAGATAACAACTCAGGCTAATCATTTCATTGGCAAAAAACATTAACATTTTGTGAAGGCCGTCGTCACCTATGGTGCATGGTCTGCACCCGACACTTTCTCGCTTTTTGAATGGGAGCGTACTTGCTAACACCAGAACGCTTAGAACGTCCTAACCCGTTCTAAGCTTCAACCTGGCGTTAGCAAGTATGTAATCACGACTTGACCGGAATGCGCACGTTTGTACAAAATGCCCCCGCATATCGCGATAGCTCCATGTAATGGCATTTATCTTGAAAAAATTTTTCCGAAATGTTTTTAGTCTTGCAGGCAAGACCAACGAAGTCTGGATGGAATGTGGCACGTGTGAGAATAAATGCGGAGAACCACGAGTGGTAAGTGTCTCAATTGAATGTGTCTAATCGGAATAATGTCTGTCATAATGTCTAATCACAGCGATACCAATAATTTGGCTAAAATTTGCCAAAATAATTTGTCTTATAGAAAGTTCCACAATAAGCCACGCCTTTTATTCGAAATCCTAGAATCACTTGATTGTGTGTCTGGCTTCCACACTGACGGCCCCTGAGCCTGAGGTGGTAACCCTTGCTGTTGGTATCCACATACCCTATCCACATACCCACGAAAGCTAATTGATTCCTCAACCATAGCTCTCCACTGTGCGAGAGTAGTGTCGAGAGTGAATGTACGCGCGGAGAGCACAGACGGCTCGCGGTGGCGAGAGTGAATATCCGCGCGGAGAGCGTGACTGACAGGCGAAATCCTCGACGAGCCGTTGTCGTTTCCTCGAGCGATCTTTACCCTGCTAGCGACCATGTGCGTCCACTGCAGACTTCACAATACAAATGACGAAGGTCTCCACAAAATGCGAGTCTTCTGCCAGTGAAATGATTAGCTAGTTGCAATCGTATTCTATAATCCCAATAATTATCGTACCATAATTACAGCGGCCATTTGTCAACTGTCACCCACCGCAATAAACCACTAGCCATCAGATATGCTTTTGGCCGTCGTCACTCGTGTTGTGGAATCTGTAGTGCAGACATCCCTGACCGCCGCATTAAAGCAACATCCCCAGATCGAATTTGTGTAGTCACAGCGGCGATAACAGAGTTGTGGATGCAGAGCTGACTAGAAATAAAAAGCAAAGAAAACCGTCGATGAAACCCTAAACAAGATTCCCCTGAAATAATGTGGGGGCGGGGCCAGACGAGTTGTACGAACTTGCCTGCTCTTGGCTCAACTAACCCGCGCGTATTTGAATTAGCCGCTACGCCGTAATCCACGTTGCGTGTCATGGGCGCGACGTAACTCGTCCAAATGCTAAGATTAGTCGCCAAATGCTGACTTTGTAAGACCCTAGCGCCATTGTCGCGCACTTTCGAGCCGCGACAACGGCACATCTGTGATACTCGTGGGCTACTCTATCCCACCACTGAATAGATTCTTCGATACGACTTCTGCTGGGGTGTTAAGGTGTCTACGTGAAATTACTGCGCAACATCTCATGAGTTGACGCATAAGCAGCGATTTCGACGGTAACAGCAAGGGAGGACTGTGTACAATGCTGTATGAATTTGAGATACCCGTAGTTTTTTGGACCCGCTGGACACATCGGGAAAATCGAGTATTAGTCCATTCGGGCCTCAGAGCATCTGTATAAAAGTAACAAGGACAAAGATGGATAAATTTCTCGTTCTTGAAACTTTATTAATTGCTTATGAATTCGATTTACTTTGTAATAAGATATTCGAAGAAATGAAGTGATTGCTTCAGATTGTTAGCTTTTACACAACAGGTCACACACATTCCAGCTGTGGTTGCCCTATATTTTGTTTCCGGTGGCCAAACGTGTCGTAACTGCAGACTCGACAACAACAGTCGGCATCAGAATGCGCTAAGAACATCGGGAAGCGACACCAGTTTTTTATTTGTTTGTGTTCTTCCCGTTTGCGATGCGGAAATCATCACACCAATGCCGAGTTCATCCGTTTCCCTAATCGGGAATCGATTCCCGACCTCGTGCTTACCGATAAGAAGTGTCACTGTAACACCAACTACTATGGGCTTCTTAAAGCATGCTTCGGGATTAGGCGAGCTCACCTGTTCCATCCCCTAGCACAGTAAACAGGCGGACGAGAGTTGATGTCGTGCCTCTTGACAGCTTAAAAGTGTGTGACAAACGCGCTTGAAGCACTCTTCACCCGTAACGCATGCCCTAGCCCGCACGCCACCCGCCTCCGGTTTACGGACTACTTGATTTTTCCTCAATGGTCCTGCCGCGATGGCTAGAGCACAGACGATTAGAGAATGCCCTAGGACTAAGCCTTGGAGAGGAGAGGGACCCGCGAGAGAGCGCAGAGGCGGTAAAGGGCTGAGTTCAAGTAGTCCGTCGACCCTCCCCCCCCCCCTTCCGCCGTCGCTGCTATGTTGGCGCGGCTCCGTGTCAACAGAATCGATGGGATCGCCGCGCCAGTAGGCGTGGCCACGACGGCGCGGCGGGTGGGCGTGTCCATTGCCAGATATCGGATGTACTAATGGCGTGGGACTTTCTGAGCATTCCGATGACTGTGATTGTGAATGACTGTTCAGCGGAATTTCTAATTGTTGAACCCTACGTGTTCTACTTCGGAGCAAGGATACAGTCACTTTCATTAGCTATTTTAATATTGTAGCTGTTCCTTATCTAAATCCATAATAAGCATATCACTTTTCGGCACTCACGGTGTCTCTAAACAGCGCGATTATTTTACAAAACACATTTTCTCTACGAGACAGTGTGGTAGAAAATAAGGAACTACGACGGCCAGTAAGGTGATCCTATCTTTGCTCTGATTAGGTGTGTTTCCTGGACAAATAACTTGAATTTTTCTGAAGTCAGAAAAGATCTGGGAATCAGAGTTTCGACTTTTTTCTTTTCCTGTGAGCCAAACTATTCAGTGAGGTATTTACCCTCGCCTTCAAATGACCAGAAATTGTGCAATTGCAGAAATTGACGTGGCATTGGCACGTGGCAAATTCGATGAAAAGGTGACATCACGTGTGCTCAAAGATGTTCTTGAATCGATGCCACGTTAATGCCACGTCAATTTCTGCAATTGCACAAGGCGAGGGTACATAGGTCTCCGTGGTACCCCCAGGAGGCCCGTCGCGCGGCAAGAAGGCCGAGTCAGCGGACGAGTCGCGCGCGTATTAGGGAAATCGCGTCAAGTTAAATAGAATGTCCCATTGCACGTCCTTCATCGCACATCACGCGCTGCGACTCTGCCTTCTTGTCCGCGCGATGGGCCTCCTGGGGGGTACCCAGGTCTCCGGACATCTGTCAACCGTGAGGCTAGGCAATTCAGCGTTTTGTTGTGCTGTCTGGGAGCTCTCACACAAGCGCACTATCACAGAATCTCCGCTTTCTTTACCTCCTTCAAAAGGCTTAGTCCCACTACCACAAAGAACGTCTGCTTTTCCTTCTACACTCTCACCCCTGGTTGACAGAAGCCTTGTAACCAGGTATATAGTACTTCAAATAAGCAACAGTGATTCAGCTCTTCTCACATGCTCTGAGCACGCTGATTTTTTGAATGTGGTCATAAAAAAGATGTTCGGGATGAATCGTTCACTCTGGCTTCGTTCAAACAAAAAGGATGTTTTAGATAATGTTGTAGTCAACCATATGATAGCCACACCATATGATAGCAAGCAATAGCTATTTTTAGGTCTTATTCCTGCGAATATATAATAGTTGACTATTAAAAGAATTGTTTCGAGTTAACATAGTGTCGCAGTCATCACGGCAAAATCCTTGGAACAAGTTCCGTAACCAGTGTTTTCTCCCAGAATTCAACACCATACCCTGTTCTCTAATCTTCATTTCGAAGAGAAAGAAGGGCAGCACCTGTTTAAAAGTTTCATCGGCGGTTTTTTTGCTTTTTTCCATTAGTAGTCAACCCGCCATCTTCAAATTCATTACCGACCGTTTTTACCTCCGTGAATCCCATCTGGAATTGTTGCTTTGAAGAAATTGTATGCGGAAAAATCGTGATTCTGTCGCATCCATACGTCACCGTCTCGAGACCCATAATTCACGATAAGGACGGAAACGAAGAGTATTGAAAATGGTGGTGATTTTGACAAACTCGCTGTGCTAGGGTGGAGAGGTGTGACGCGTTTGAATTCCCGCCGTACATCTGCCACCAATTTTGGCGCCGGGCGGTTATGGGAGTGTCTTCGCTAGAAAAACTGTTCAGCTTTTTTCCACCTATGGCAATAATATTGCTCTTTTCTACTGAATCCTTTTCTTACACGTATCCAAACACGTGGACCATGTTACTAGTTCGATACCGACAAGGTTCCCTGGTGCGCTACAGCGGGCATAAGATCGTTTTTGCGACTTGGGACGTGTGAAAAGGGTGATAGAGGTTAAGAAGTTGTGTCCACTGATATATCATGCCATCACGCACGCCTACCGTTGCGGCATTTGCTGCCTAATTCACGCCATACACTCTCGTCTCCCTCTGCCGTTTTCCCATCCTGGCGCACATTATTCCAAGACTATTATTCTCGCAAGCGCTCTTACCGACTAGGGAAACAGGGTGCCGCGGAGAAAACGGACGGCTTCGAAGCAGAGTCAACCCTGCGTTGCGCAGTTCTCAACGGCCACGTTGCGCAGTTTCGCCCGATTAGACACGTTCTCTCGCGCGAACATTCACACTCGCATGCTCGAGCCGTCTGCGTCTCCGCCCATACAGCGTGCGTTGAGGATCTCTCAACGTGCCGTTGCGAACTGCGCAACGCAGGGTTGACTCTGCTTCGAAGGCTTTTTTCAAGTCTTATGCTATGTTTGGTGCTCTGAGGAAGAGATCTGATTAGACGAGCTTTGGGTCGCATTCAGCACATCGACGACAGCCGTTATGCGTGTATTTCGGCATCATTTCTCTATTTTTTCATTGAAATTCTTTACCGCTTCGACAGATTTATTAGAGGTAACGAGTAAATTGATTTTGCAGTCCGACACGATTGTTTTGAAGCCCGAAAAATTCAGGTGAACAAGGAAAGAAGAACCTCGCTAGCGCGGAAGTGTGACGCGCCTCCGCGTCACGTTGGCGTCACTGTGTTAGAATGTCTACCTAAACACCTCTTCGGCACAGGAACCCACCGAAGTCAACCTCAATGCCGAGGTTGGACGACACATGTACTAATGCATTTTTTTTACAGTTAGGGACCATGTCATGACGGCAGAGCTCTTATGGTTACAAGGGGTATACAGGGTTGACGTGTTTTGCCATTTTCAAATTTCTTGTGAAGTTCAGACGTGATACGATGCAAACAAGGACGAATAGCCCTTATTTGAATCATGCAAAAAGCAGTAATTGGTGAGGTCCACGTCAGAGACAATGAAGGTCCTCCT